ATTTTTGTAAAAATAGGCTTAAATTCGGGTAAAATACCGATTTTGTTAATATCAGTCAAAGGCTGTCGAATGAGTTGAGCCAATAATCTCTGGCCTGAAAGTGTGCGGCAATTGTTGAGCACTTGAAATAAGGTTCTATTGGTCTTATTAGTCATGGAATCGTTGACAGCGTTGGGAAACAAATCCAATGAATGGACAGCCGTTGCGTCCAATTTGACAAATTGTCTTAAATTAATTTCATTGAATTGAAAACTTTCATAATTAGAGTCATCGCCTAAAAGATTGAGATAATCCAAGACTCCAGCGATCGCTTCTTTTGAGAGCCACTTCTGCTCTAACATCGCTGTCGACAGAAAAAACAAAATTAAAATCAAATACAAATCAAATTAAAGACAGAAAATGGTTACCATTGATAGTGATTTCTTTGTTATCACTTTTATTCAAGAGTTTGTCTAAATCTGATTCCAGATTCGATGCGCTCAACGAACTCTTCTTCACTTCTGTGACCAGAATTCTGTTATTATCTAAAATTGTGGTCAACTTCTTGGCCGTCGACTCTTGTTTGTCGTGAACACAAATGAGACACTCTTTGGGACTAATTTGCACCAAAAGGCTCTCCAAATGAGACAAATACTCGTTGTCTTCAAACTCGCAGAAAGAGATCTCATTGACAATCGCATCGATGAAAGCGATTCCGATCTTGAAATCATTAGACCATTGAATGCCACAAACGCCTCGACTGTCGATCGAAGTGTTGGTCGAATAGATAATGTCTTCGAGAGGGCCCAGACATCCAGGACTAGCCTTAAGATCCAATTGCCAGTCATTTGATGCCTTCTTTTTGATTGACTTCTTGTATATTTCAATGCGTTCTTTGCTTTCAATCAAAATATATCTCAATAGCGACTCATATCTGGCCTGAGATATAGCGATGGACGCGATCTTATGGCCATCGGTTCCGATGTATCGAATGGCAGATGTGGTGCAGAGGAAGCACTTGGCGATGGACTCGGCGTTCAAACCGTGAAGTGTGTAATAATCTCCTCTATCGAAGAGTCGGTATGTCTTCGGCGGACACGAACCTAACGATCGATAAAAGGCCAGAAAAGTGGGCTCTTGTGGTATGTCTTCGGATATTAAACCACAAAATGATCGCAAAATTAATGTTTTGTTTTATGGGTTTTGTTGTCAACAAAATTGTTTGAATCAATAGTGAAGACAAACAGTAGTGACAGTGAATACAAACCCAATTGGTTTTCCTCATCCATTTGTGGCAACTCTTGTGATCATAAATGGCTGAAAATGGGAGACAATTATCACAACAATTGATTCAAAGACACAAATGTTGTGAACGAGTGATGAAGGCCACCATTGGGAATAATCGCCCAAGTTTTTTGTGAAAATTATTTGTATACAAATTTACCGATTAAAATCCCACCCAACCTAACCTAACCTAACCAAACCTAATATAACATAATATAAGTTAGGTTAGGTTATATTTAGTTAGGTTAGGTTAGGTTAAAAATTTTCGGAAAAATATTTAAAGTCGAATATTTCGATAAGTATTCGACCTACATAAATTTAGATTTAGATTTCGTTTTCAGCGTTGAATTCTACATAGGAATCATATAATACATTAATATATTTCGGTCAAAAATGCTTTTCGAACAAAAGTTTTAAGTCGAATAACTCGAAAAATATTCGATATAGAAAATTTTCGATTTCATATTCGTTTTTAGCGTTGAATTTTACATTAAAATAAATTACTAATTTTGTGGGCGATTATTCCCAATGGCGGCCAGTGATGAAATGTGTGGCAGAAGTCAGTGAAAGAGCGCCAAAACATGTGTCCAAATGTTGACTACTTTTTGGCACGAATTTTGAATCACAAAACTTTGTTTGACTTTACGTTAGTTTTATTGTTTTAAATAATGTTTATAATTTACTTGTTTTTATAGATTTACATAAAGCTTATATTTCAAACAACCAATTTAAATAAAATTTTTTAGATAATAATTACAATAAAATACATTAATTTTAGAATTGTTTGATGCAATTTAAAACATAAATGAAGATTAAAAATAAATGGCATTAAATTAATAATTAATTAATCAATTCATTATTTATAGTCAATTCATTGCATTTAATCTCAGTTTCAATTGTATAACACTTTATCAACAATTAATACATAACTTTCAAAATTTTGAAAATTTTTAACAATGGTTTGAAAACTTTGCCAAATTTTCTTTGCCGAGTTGCCAACAAAAACGTATAACGCTTTTGTCACAATCTTCCGCAAAACTATCACCAAAACCACATCCAAACCACTTACAAATCACACCAAACTTCACAAACACCTCAACAATGACCACAACTCCTACTACTGCTTGCAGTGAAACCCAAACCACTTGTGGAGCCATACAATCGGCCGACGGAAGTGGACAACACAGCTGTTGTGTTGTAAAGTTCTGGGAAAGTGTCGGACACAGAGCCCAAGACAGGGATCCGAACGCCACCAACGGTTCCAATCATAACAGACAACGGAAGGGCTGCTGTCGACGACTATTCGACGCCATCCGTCGGCCCCTCTGTGGCCGTCGAAGACGAGTCCAACCAGGAAAGTGTCGGACACAGAGCCCAAGACAGGGATCCGAACGCCACCAACGGTTCCAATCATAACAGACAACGGAAGGGCTGCTGTCGACGACTACTCGATGCCATCGGTCGACGCCTTTGTGGCCGTCGAAGACGAGTCCAACCGGTAGTGGAGTCGACAGACTCTTCAGATAACACCTCTTCGGAAAGAAGAGACGATGTCTTGAATCCCATTTCGCCCGAAACGAGTTCACCACTTGTGGATCAGTTGGTCTCCAATGTCTTGTCTGACAAACCGTTGGAAACGAGTTCAACACTTGTGGAGCGCTTGGACTCTAATGTCTCGTCTCTAGTATTGTCCGAAACGGGTCTAACTCTTGTGGATCCGTCGGAATCGAGTCGTGAACTCCAATGCCATCCAATGGTAAGCCAAAGGACGACACAATTAGTCCAAACAGAAGTCTCTACAGGAGCCCAAGACAGGGATCCGAACGCCACCAACGGTTCCAATCATAACAGACAACGGAAGGGCTGCTGTCGACGACTATTCGACGCCATCCGTCGGCCCCTCTGTGGCCGTCGAAGACGAGTCCAACCCGTAGTGGAGTCGACAGACTCTTCAGACAACACCACTCGTGAGAAACAGTTGGAACCGTTAGCTGACGAACCGTTGGTTTTGTCGAACGGGTTGTGCCAACCATTAGTCCAAACACAGGTCTCCACAGAAGTTGATGGCAACGAACAGACCATTCAGTTGTCTCGCAAGAAATCCACACTTGGATTGACTGACGACTCAAACGGCAATCAATTGGAACCCATTTTAGAGAACCAAACATACAGTCCATTAGTTAACAATTGTTTAGCCGTCGCCTCGTTTGCGGGACAACTGACCCCAGAAGTCGCCAAAGACTTGACAACATTGGCTGCAAATTGGCTTTCGATTTACTATAACATCGACCACTTGTTGGACGCACTGAAGACAACTCTTCACTTCAAAAGTGAGTACAAGTCTATCATCAAAAACTCTTTGCCTCTACTCTTTGCTAATGGCGTCCAATTGGGGTCCCATTTGGGAAGCGGTGGAAATGGACTCGTAGTGAGCGCTGAACACAATGGCAGACCAGTGGCCGTCAAATTCTCTCTGAATCCCATCCCATTTGTGAACCAAGAGC